AAAATTAATAGAAAAAATCATAAAAGTACAAAAAACTGACAATTTGTAGTGAAATAGCTAAAACAGCTGAAGTTTACAAAACAGCTAAAGTAGCTGGACATGTTTTAATTAGCTTAAGGAAACATAAGGAGCACACGTTTGCATAGAAATAGGTTGTGGTATTTATAAAAGTATATTTTTAGCTTAAAATGCTGACTTTAACTAATTACAGCTGAACATTAGCTAAAATTGCAGCAAATAACATAATATAGTAGAAAGCATCTGTAAGAAACATAAAAAAGCACAAAGTAGTAGAGAAAAAACATAAAAAATTAGAAAAAAGCAGAATTTTAGCTAAAATAGCAGAAAAATGCTAAAATGAGCAAAAAAAGTCACTGAAGGTAGCACAAGGAAGTTAAAAAAGAGCAGAAGCAGAATATAATATGTAAGGTTCTGTAAAGATTTAAACATTTTAAAAGAGTTTAAGGATGTTAATAACAGCTCTATTCATTTTCAATGGCATAAAAGTGGCTAAAAAATTGAAATAGCTGAAAATGTAAAAATAGCTGAAATACCTAAAGTCATAGCATCCTTGGCATAAATGAGCTGAACGTTTTGATTTATGAATTGTTGAAAAAGAACAAAAAATTGTGGAACGAGTTAGATGCCAAAAAATGTAGAGAAGAAAAAATGATCTGAATGCTGTGAAGCATCACACAATGAATCTGTATGTGTGGTGCTTGCTGTGTCATCAGTCCCTGTGCACTTTAATAAAGTTTATTTTCTTAAATAAACATATTGTGCATAATGTGAAAGTAAGAGTATATGTTGATGAGTCCAACCAGACCTCTGCTTCCTGTGTCTGTAGCTAATTTCATTTGGACTGATAACTAAGGTTGAAGATATAAAGATGTCATATAATATAAAAATAATATAAAGTAGTCTGAAGACTCTGATATATAAATGGCTGTAATTGCACAAAGTGTGTGGAAATTGCAATAAAGCCTGGAGAAAACTATAAACTTGGATTCTGAGATCAAAGTCAGAATTCCACAAAAAAAATGCTCTGGCCCTAATCTTCTTCTATAAATGTTTATGCATTGGCACGCTTACAGCTGCTAGAAGGCCAACTGTAAAATATCATTTAAATTTTATTTATATCTTTCTGCTCTCTCTGGTCATCAGTAGGGCTGCCACGATTAATGGATTAATTGACGACTAATCGATTATTAAAATAATCGATGACTAATTTAATAATCGATTAATCGTTTTCTTTTTTTTT